GTAGGCAGCATATGTGTGGGTCATACTTTCTTATCCATGACGCTATTCTGTGTCTTTTGATTGGAGCATTTAATCCATTTACATTTAAGGTTATTATTGATAGGTACTTATTCATTGCCATTTTTGTACCTGTGTTCCTCTCTGTCTGTCTCTTTTCCTTCCTTTCCTTAAAGCAGACCTTTTAGTATTTCTTGTAGAGCTGGCTTGGTGGCAGCAAATTCTTTTAGACTTCTTTTGTCTTGGAAGCTCTTTATTTGGCCTTCTATCTTGATTGAGAGCCTTGCTGGGTAAAGTAGCCTTGGTTGTAGGCCTCTGTTTCTCATTACTTGGAATATTTCTTGCCAATCTCTTCTTGCTTGGAGTGTTTCCATTGAGAAGTCAGTGGCTAACCTTATTGGGACGCCCTTGTATGTTATTTCTTTTTTCTCCCTTGCTGCCTTTAAGATTCTCTCTTTGTCTTGGAATTTGGCCATTTTAATGATGATGTGTCTTGAAGTGGGCCTCTTTGGGTTCCTCTTGAATGGGACTCTGTGTGATTCCTGGATTTTTGTGACTTTTTCTTTTGTCAAATTAGGGAAATTTTCTCTCATTACTCTTTCAAATATGTTTTCTATCCCTTGTTCTTCTTCTTCTCCTTCTGGTATTCCTATTATTCGGATATTATTACGTTTCATATTGTCTTGCATTTCTCTTAATCTCTCTTCATTCTTTCTGAGCCTCTTTTCCCTTTCCTGTTCTTTCTGTGAGATGCTTTCTACTTTGTCCTCCAATTCACTAATCCGATCTTCTGTTTCATCCACCCTATTTTTAATGCTTTCCACTGTGTTTTTTAATTCAGAAATTGTATTCTTCATTTCCTCTTGGCCCTTGCTAATAATTTCCATTTCCTTTTTCATGTTGATATAGTTCACAGTGAGATCACTGTAGCTTCCCTGTAGTTTCTGGTAGCTGATTGTGAGCTCTTTGAACTTCCTGATCACCAGTGCTTTGAATTCAGTATCTGATAGTTGACTTGCTTCTGTTTCATCTAACATTCTTTCTGAGGATTCCTCCTTTCCTTTCATTTGGGGATTGTTTCTTTGTCTTCCCATTGCTTGTGAGACTCTTCTTGTTAGCCTCAGCTTCTTAGATTAATCTGTTTTGACATCCTGGGTTTATGGTATGAACTTTTGTGGTGGAATGCCTGTGAATTTCAATGGTGCAGCCTGTTTTGGTTATCCTGTTGTTCTCTGCTTCCACCTACTCAAATATGCAGCAACTTGTGGCTTCTCTCCCACAACAATGTGCAATTTGTCTCTCTGACTCTACTATTGGGAGGCCTCTTCTATGGGTCCAGCTCTGGTCTTTTTATATTTTCAAGTTGATTGTGACTCTTGTGGGTAAAAGAAAGAAATGATAAGGAAAGAAATAAAAGGAAGAAAGAAAAAAATGGTAGGGGAATGGAAGAAAGAGCAATAAGTTTAGAAAGAAAAGAAAAAGAAATAAAACAGAAAATCCGGGAAAAGAGGACAAAAGTATGGAAAGATGAAACAGTAATAAAGTTTAAAAGAAATAACAGATTACTTTAAAAAAGCAAAAAGATAAAGAAAAGGAATGGAGAAGGAAGAAAGGTAGATAAAAAAAAGAAAGAATAATGATAAAATAAAGTAAAAAAACAACAAAAAACGCACCAAAATAATCTCTCAGAAACACCCTCAGAAAAAGGAATGTCACTTGTTGGCTTCAAACTAGCCGAACCGGTTTTTCTGGTTGCAGTTGGCTGAGGGTCGATTGTTGTGATTTTTTTTTTTCCAGCCAGCCCCTCTCAGGATCCAGACACTTGGCGCCTCTCCCCCAGCTCCCTACAATGGGGAACTAGGACTTTCTCGCAGCGCTCCCCTCCCAGGGGTTACTGCCATAGTCTGGTTTGCTGTGTTTGCAGGCACCTGCACCGGCCTAGTTGCCTGGTTCCCTCGGGATTGAGCACAGGCCTGCCCCCGTTCAGTTGGGAAGCCCCAGACCCTCTGCCCAATCCTGGGCTCGCTGCCAAGCTGGGTGTGAAGCAGACCAGGCTGCCGTGGCTACTGGATTCAGAGCCCCAGGCTGCACCTCTGAGTTCTCCTGGGCTGGTAACCACAGAGTCTTTGGTTGGGGCCCTTTGTCCTCCGCACCCTCTCTGTAAACTCTATCAAACAAGTCTCTCCTGGCCCCCCACCTTGCTTGGCCAGAAAGGGAGGGGGTTGAGGGTCTCAGCTCTTTTCCCAGGACCCCTCAGCCTCCCGGGCTTCCAGATAGTCTGAGGGGGGTAGACTGGAAGCCGGGAGCCGATCTGAGGACTGGGCGCAGACCTAGAAACTCTGTGTGCTCGTCATGGCAGGCTGCGTGGTGTGTATCCCTTCTGCTCCTGTGTTTGTCTGGGTCCCCTGGCCAACCTCTGGCAAAAAAAAAAACCCCACAAAAAACCCCCCAAAAAACAAAAAAACCCTAGGGATGTAGCAGCACCAGGCCGGGTGCTGGACCCAGAACTGTGTGCAGGCTGAAATCTCCTCTGCTCCCCTCTGGTTGGGTCTCTTGGCCGGTCCGGGCCCAAAAATCCTAGGGAGGGAGCTTTCTGGGCGCTGAACGTTGGCCTAGGCGCCCTCAGGCACTTGCCCAGACACACCTGCGTGTGGAGCTACTAGTTCCCCAACTTGCGCGCAGGCTGAAGTTTCTTCCACACCTTTTTGCCTGGGCCCCTCGGCCTGCCCGGCAGAAAAATTCCAGGGAGGGAGCCGTCCGGGCGCTGAACGCTGTCCCAGGCGCCTTTAGGCACTCTCCCAGACACAGTTCCCACCAGGCGCTGAACCTCCGAGCTATGCACAGACTGAAATCCCCTCTGCTCCCCTCTGGTTGGGCCACTTGGCAGGTCCCCGGCCCAAAAATCCTAGGGAGGGAGCTTTCCGGGCGCTGAATGTTGGCCTAGGTGGCCTTGGGCACCTTCCCAGACACACTGCGAGTGGAGCAACTAGTTCCCCAGATTGCGCGCAGGCTGAAATTTCTTCCACACCTCTTTGCCTGGGCCACTCGGCCTGCCCGGCAGAAAAATCCCAGGGAGGGAGCCGTCCGGGCGCTGAAGGCTGCCCCAGGAGCCGTTGGGCTCTCGCCACAGGGCTCTGGTTCCCCTACCCTGCACCGGCTGTTTCTCCCTGCTCCGTCCCAGAGACTACTGTACCGCTGCTGTCTCCCTACCGTCTGGTTCCCCCGTGACTGATGAGGTTTCTGGTCTCTTATTTTCATATATGCTTGGCAACTGCTGGCTTGCTGGCCTCACCTCCTCCGATCGGATAGGTTTCTGTCTCTTTTGTACTAGGAACTGGTATCTACTCCGTCCTAGTCCACCGCCATCTTGAAACCCCTTATGTCTATGCTACTTATTTTCTGTACCTTCTCCCCCCTTCTCCTCCTCCCACTCCCCTGTTGCTAACCCTCCTTGAGATCTTCATTTCTATGTTTCCACTCCTGATCTAGCTGTCCTTTTAGTTTGCTTTTGTTTTAGGTGTGGTTGTTCATAACTGTGAGTTTGTTGTCCTTTCACTGTTCATGTTGTTTTTTAACCTCGTTTTGTTAGATAAGTCCCTTTAACATTTCATATAATAAGGGCTTGGTGATGATGAACTCCTTCAATTTGGTCTTATCTGAGAAGCACTTTATCTGTCCTTCCATTGTAAATGAAAGTTTTGCTGGATAGAGCAATCTTGGTTGTAGGTCTTTGGATTTCATGACTTGGAATACCTCTTTTCAGCCCCTTCTTGCCTGTAAGGTCTCTTTTGAGAAATCCGCTGACAGTCTGATGGGAACTCCTTTGTAGGTGACTGTCCCCTTAGCTCTTGCTGCTTCTAGGGTTCTCTCGTTCATTTTAATTTTGGCTAATGTAATGATGATGTGCCTTGGTGTGTTTGTTCTTGGGTCCAACTTCTTTGGGACTCTCTGAGTTTCCTGGATTTCCTGGAAGTCTATTTCCTTTTTCAGACTGGGGAGATTCTCCTTTATTATTTGTTCAAATAAGTTTTCCACTGGTGGCTGTGCCTTTCCCCCTTCTGGTACCCCTATAATTCGGATGTTGGAGTGTTTAAAGATGTCCTGGAGGTTCCTAAGACTCTCCTCATTTTTTTGAATTCTTGCTTCTTCACTCTTTTCTGTTTGGCCATTATTTGCTTTCTTCTGGTGCACTCCATTGATTTTAGTCCCAGTTTCCTTTTCATCGCTATTGTTTTCCTGTGCAATTCCATTCATTTCAATTAGTTTCGCCTTCATATGTTTGTCTAATTTGTGGCTATAATCAACCAGTTCTGTGAGGATCCTGATCACCAGCGTTTTAAACTGTGCATCTGAGAGTTTTGCTATTTTTTCATCGCTTAAATGTATAGGTTCTGGAGCTTTGAGATCTTCTTGAGCCATTTTTGTCTGTTTGCGCCCATTAAGTATGAGGACCGAAGCCTTGGACTCCCAGGTCACTGGGTTGTGATGCCGTATGTGGAGGCGGGGTCAGAGCGGGGAAATGGCGGCCCCCTCTGCTGTTTCTCGCAGCTGGGTGAAGAGCAGAGCCTTAGGTTGTTCACTGGGGCAGGGCCACTTAGGTCGCTGGATTATGACGCAGTCAGGCTGAAGAATTTGTTGTGATCAGACTTCTGAAAAGTTCAATTTTCTGTGTTCTGGCTGTGTTTTCTGTTGCTCTTATTTAGTTCTCTCTAAACTTGGTTGTGTGAGGAAGCACGCGTCTCCACCTATGCCTCCATCGTGGCAGAACTCGAAACTTGTTTTTTATTAATGGCTCATCCAAATAGAGAGAAATGCTCTCCCTGGGCATGCCTTTTCCCTCATGACTGCAGACTGGCTGCCATTGCTCCAGCCATCACAGCCACGTCAAAGGCCGACAGGCCCAATGTGTGGAGTAGGAGAGGACTGACAATGGCCACACTTTTGTATCAAGAAAGCCCCAAATTTCATAGCAGTTCCCTGGCCCTATTATGAGCCTTATTGACTTCAATTTTTTTAAAGATTTTATTTGTTTATTTTTAGAGGGGAAGGGAAGGAGAGAGGGACAGAAACATCAATGTATGGTTGCCTTCATGCGTCCCCTGCTGGGAACTGGCCTGCAACCCAGGCATGTGCCCTGACTGGGAATCGAACCACGATTGTCTGGTTTGCAGGCCCGCGCTCAGTCCACTGAGCTACACCAGCCAGGGCTGACTTCAATTTCTATCTCATCGGCTAGAATCTGGCCTCAAGCCCCTCCCTCCCCCACCAGAGATGCAGAGGAACCTAGGAAAAAAGAGAAGGAACATGTTTAATATCATCATAATTTATCACCTGGAGAGGAGTGAGAAATTCCCCAGTTTCAACTTGGGTTTTGATGATAACAGAAGGGAAATGAACTGCTTTAAAACATGTTTCTCTTTGAGGATCAATGAACGACCCCACACTTCCCCTCCAAATAAAGACCGGCCCTCCACCTGTAACTGTGGGGTGGGATGCTCCTGCTCCTACACTCAGGGGCTCTGCATCTTGGTGGGACTCCTGACAACTCCCACCCCCAAACGCCCCCAGTTGTTTCATTTGGGGCCTTAGAACACAGCGGTGCGTGGAAATGGTAAGTTTGTGGATGCAGGCCCTCACCAATGCAGCTTTCTTTTCGGGTTGGGCAGTAGGGGCTTGGGTGTGCCCTAAGCTTGTATTGGGGAAAACGGTTCACGCTGAACTCACCTGTGTCTGCACCCGTTGTTCTGAGGATGTGTGTGTGCCTGTGTGTGTGTGTGACAGAGACCCGAGCAGATGTTCTGATGAGAAGGGTAGAAGCATCACAAGAGTGTGTGTCCCTGCGGTCCTTCTTGTGAGGTGGCACATGGCTTTTATTCCTGAGGACAATGGGGCAGCTTGTGCAAAAGCCAACACGCCATTGCCGCTGTCACGGCGTCAGCCCCAGGACCCTGAGCATGGCTCCCTGTGTGTTTGTTATGAGTTGCCAGGAGAAAAACAGATTACTGTCTCTCATTTTTTTGTTTGACCCAGGTTCTTGTGGCAAATGTGCAAGAAGAGAGGAAAAAAAAGACCTGAGCTTTAGAACTTTGTATCGATTTTATTTTGATGTTTTTAAATAACAAATTATTGAATGTTTAAAAATTTAATTCAGTGTGTACTTACACATACATTATGTGCATTCCAACATTCAGCTGGAGCTGTCTCTAAAGTCACCAGTGCCTGGGCGAGAGGCACTCATCTGCTGCTGGTGGAATGTGCTGCCCCCCACGCCGGTCGTGGAAGAGCGGAGAAGGAGTTCTCGCCCTGCACAGAGGCAGCGAGGCAGCTGCAGGTGGTCTGCGGAGGCGCTGCCGTGACCGATCCCGTGGATGCCGCCAGCCTGCTCCCAGGCTTCTGAGGGCCAGGGCCTCCTCCACATGCCCGAACTGGGCAGGCAGGTCAGTGTGGGCATCGATCATCAGAATCCTGTAGGTAGAGTCTGGCCTTTCTTCACATTAGAGATGAAAACAAGCCCCAGAGTAGAACTCTGGAAAAAAACAACACACACGCCCGTGAACTAGGTAGAAGATAAATACACACAGACGTATGGATGGAATCCTAAAGAAGAACAGCAAATGGATATTTGTGAGGCATAATTTAAAATAAAATTGGAGAAATAAACACTCTGCATCCATGAAAGTGATAGTCATGAAGACCCAGTGCAAGGGGTTAGAGTTAGGAGGCACTGTAAAAATTAGCATCGATTTGTCCTCCCAACGAACCTGGAGACACACTGCTCAACACAGCAGGCAACCCAGAGGCTCGCTCACACTATTGGAGGGGAACCAGTTATGGGTGCTTTTATTTCCTTCTTTACTGTTCTATTGGGTTTAGAATGTAGAAAAACCTTTTAAAAGGAGTGAAAAGTTAATCACTTCCAAACACCAAATATACTTGCACCTGCTGAAAATTTGGTTTCCTGTCAAAGACACGCCCACGATCCTTGTTCCCCAGGCAACAGACACCATTGCAAACTGCACATGGGTGATGTGGGTGTCCTTTTCATGTAGAAGTGTTGCAGTTGAAATTTAGGTGGGCCCTGCTGGGACAATAGGGAGGGACTAGAATGTTCATCTGTTGCTGGGGAGGGTTTAAAAGGGTGTGGCCAGCTTGGAAAACAGTTTGACAGTTTATTAATACGTTAAAATACACTTACCTATGGTTTTATATCCAAGGAAATGGAAATACAGGACTCCCCTGTGAATGTTTCTGGCAACATTTTTTAAAAATGTATTCTATTGGTTATGCTATTACAGTTGTCCCATTTCCCCAATTCACTCCCCTCTACATACCTCTTCCATCCACATTCCCCCACTTTAGTTCATGTCCATGTGTCATACTTATAAATTGTTTATCTTCTATATTTTCCCATACTATTCTTACCCTCCCCTTGTCTATTTGCTACCTACCCATCTATGCTACTTATGCTCTATACCTTTTCCCCCCTCTCTCCCCCTGCAACTACCTCCTATTCCTCCCAAACCCCCCTGTTGCTAACCCTCCATGTGATCTCCTTTTCTGTGGTTCTGTTCCTGTTCTGGTTGCTTGCTTAGTTTGTTTTTGTTCTAGGTGTGGTTGTTAATAATTGTGAGTTTGCTGCCATTTTACTGTACATGCTTTTTATTTTTTCTTATCTAAGTCCCTTTATCATTTCACATAATGTCCTTGGTGATGATGAACTTGACGATGAAGAACTTGACCTTGACAATGATAGTGCAGATGAAAGGTAACTTTGCAGGTGAGTGATGATTCTACACGTGAGAAATGAGAGTGCAGTTGAGAGATGATAGTGCAGGTGAAATGTAACTGTTCAGGTGAGTGGTTACCGTTGAGGTGAGTATAACTGTGCATGTAAGTGATGGCTGTGCAGTGAAAGATGATTGGGCAGGGCAGAGTGAGAGTGCCAGTGAGAAATGATTGTGCATTAGAGTGATGAGTGTGCAGGTTAGAGATGACTGTGCATATGGGAGATGACTGTGAAGGTGAGTGAAAATTGTGCAGGGAGTGATGAGAGTGCAGGTGAGTGATGGCGGTGAAAGTGAAAGATTACTGTGCAGGTCAGTGATGGTTGTGCAGTGAGAGATGAGTATGCAGGTGAGAGATGATGGTGCAGCTGAGTTGTAACTCTGAAGGTGAGAGATGGCTGTGCAGGTGAGTGATGAGTATTCAGGTGAGTGATGTGTGTGTAGTTGAGAGATGATTGCGCAGATGAGTAATGCTTGTTCCGGTGAGTGATTCCTGTGAAGGGTGAAATGAGTTTGCAGGTGAGAAATGGCTGTGCACTTGAGAGATGACTTTGCAGGTGAATGAAAGCTGTGCAGGTGAGAGATGCCTGTGAAGGTGAGTGATTGCTGTGCAGGTTAGAGACGGCTGTGCGGGTAAGTGATGAATGTGCAGGTGAGAGATAGCTTTTTTTGTGAAAGATGAGTGTGCAGCTGAGAGATGACTATGGAGTTTTGAGATGACTGTGCAGGTGAGTGATAATTGTGAAGGTGAGACATGGCTGTTCAGGTGAGTGATGATTGTGCAGGTTAGAGATGCCCATGGAGGTGAGAAATGGCTGTGCAGGGGAGTGATGTGTGTGCCAGTGAGAAATGGTTTGGTAGGTAAGTGATGAGTATGCAGGTAAGTTATTTGTATATAGGTGAGTGATGAGTGTGCTGGTGACACATGGCTGTTCAGGTGAGTGATGGCTGTGCAGGTGAGACATGATTGTGCAGGTGAGTGATGAGTGTACCAGTGAGAGATGAGAGTACAGGTGACCTATCATTGTGAAGTTGAGTGATGAGTATGCAGGTGAGTGTGAGTATGCAAATGAGTGATGAGTGTGAAGGTGAAAGATGGCTTTGCAGGTGAGAAATGACTTTCAGTTGAGAGATGATTGTGCAGGTGAGAGATAGCTGTGCAGGTGAGAGATGGCTGTGAATGTGAGTGATGAGTGTGCAGGTGAGTTATGAGTGTGTAGGTGAGTGATGGGTGTGAAGGTGAGTGATGGCGGCACAGGTAAGAGATGACTGTCCCGGTGAAGATGGCTGTGCAAACGAGAGATGGCTGTGAAGGGGAGTGATTAGTATGCAGGCAGAGATTGAACTGCACGTGAGAAATGACTCTGCAAGTGAGTGATGACTGTGTAGTTGAGAAATGACTGTGCAGGTGAGTGATGGTAGTGCAGGTGAAAGATGGTTTTGAAGGTGAAGGTTGAGTATGCCGTTGAGTGATGAGTATGCAGGTGAGTGATGAGTGTGCAGGGGAAAAATGGCTCTCCAGGTGAGTTAGCGCTGTGAAGGTGAGAGATGATTTTGCAGGTGAGTGATGAGTGTGCAGAAGAGAGATGGATGTGCAGGTGAGTAATGAGTGTTCAGGTGAGAGATGGTTTTCCAGGTGAGAGATGAGTGTGCAGGTTAGAGACTGCTATGCAGGTGAGTGATGAGTGTGCAGGTGAGAAATGGCTATGATGAGACACGGCTGTGCAGGTGAGTGATGAGTATTCAGGTGAGTGATGTGTGTGTAGTTGAGAAATGAGTGATGAGTGTGCAGATGAGTAATGCTTGTTGCTGTGAGGTATGCCTGTGAAGGGAGAGATGAGTTTGCATGTGAGAAATGGCTGTGTAGGTGAGTAATGAGTGTGCAGGTGGCAGATGGCTGTGCAGGTGAGAGATGACTGCACATGTTTTTGATGGATGTGCAGATGAATGAAGTCTGTGCAGGTGAGAGATGCCTTGCAGGTGAGTGATTGTACTGTTCAGGTTAGAGTCGGCTGTTCGGGTGAGTGATGAGTGTGCATGTGAGAGTTGGCTGTGCAGGTGAGAGATGAGTGTGCAGTTGTTTGATGTGTGTGCAGTTGAGAGATGATTGTGCAGATGAGTGATGAGTGTGCTGGATAGTGATGGCTGTGAAGGGTGAGAGATGATTGGGCAGGTGAGAGAATGGCTATGCAGTTCAGAGATGGCTGTGGAGGTGAGTGATGAGTGTGCTGGTGAAAAATGATATGTGCAGGTCAGTGATGGCTTTGCATGTCAGTGATGAGTATGCAGGTGAGTGATGAGTGTGAGCAGGTGAGAGATGGCTGTGCAGATGAGAGATGACTATACAGGTGAGTGAAGATTGGGCAGGGAGTAATGAGCGTGCATGTTAGAGAAGGCTGTGCAGGTGAGTGATGATTGTAAAGATGAGTTATGGCTGTGCAGGTGAAAAATGACTGTGCAGGTGAGTGATGCTGTGCTGGTGAGAGATGAGTGTGAAGGTGAAAGATGATAGTGCCAGTGAATGGTAACTGTGCAGGTGATTGATTACCATTGAGGTGAGAATAACTGTGCATGTCAGTGATGGCTGTGCAGTGAAAGATGATTGGGCAGGGAGAGTGAGAATGCAGGTGAGAAATGATTGTGCAGGTGAGTGATGACTGTGCAGGTTAGAGATTGCTGTGTATTTGAGTGACAAGTGTGCAGGTATGCGGTGGCTGTGCAAGTGTGTGATGAGTGTGCATGTGAGTGATGGCTGTGAAGGTGAGTGATGATTGTGTAAATGAGAGATGGCTATGCAAATAGAGATGTCTGTGCATGTGAGTGATTAGTGTGCAGCTGAGAGATTACTGTACAGGTGAGGGATGGCTGTGCAGTGAGAAATGAGTGTGCAGATGAAAGACGATAGTGCAGGTGAGAAGTAACACTGAAGGTGAGAGATGACTGTGCATGTGAGAGTTAACTTTGCAGGTGACTGATGACTGTGCATGTGAGAGATGACTGCGCAGGTCAGTGATTGTTTTGTAGTGAGAGATGAGTGTGCAGGTGAGAACTGTCTGTGCAGGTGAGTGAAGAGTATTCATTTGAGTGATGTGTGTGCAGTTGAGAGATGAGTGTGCAGATGAGTGATGAGTGTACAGGTGAGTGATGACTGTGCACATGAGAGATAATTGTGCAGGTTAGAGATGGCTATGCAGGTGAGAGATGGCTGTACAGGTGAGTGATAGTGTGCAGGTGAAAGGTGAGTGTGCATCTGAGAATTGGTTTTGCACGTGAAGGCTGAGTATGCTGTTGAGTGATGAGTGTGCAGGTGACAAATGGCTCTCCAGAGGAGTGAGCGCCGTGAAGGTGAGAGATGATGGTGCAAGTGAGTGATGACTGTGCAGGAGAGAGATGGCTGATCAGTTGAGAGGAGATTGTGCAGGTGAGTGATGAGTGTACAGGTGAGTAATGACTGTGCACATAAGAGATAATTGTGCAGGTTAGAGATTTCTATGCAGGTGAGAGATGGCTGTGTAGGTGAGTGATGAGTGTGCAGTTTAGATATGGCTATGAGGGTGAGAGATGGCTGTGCAGGTGAGTAATGAGTATTCAGGTGAGTGATATGTGTAGTTCAGAGATGAGTGTGCAGATGAGTAATGCTTGTTCTGGTGAGTGATTCCTGTGAAGGGTGAGATGAGTTTGCAGGTGAGAAATGGCTGTGCACTTGAGAGATGACTTTGCAGGTGAATGAAGGCTGTTCATGTGCACATGGCTGTGTATGTGAGTAATGATTGTGTAGGTGAGTGATGAGTGTGCAGGTGAGAGATGTTTGTTCAGTGGAGTTATGAGTGTACAGGTGAGAGATGGCTGTGCAGTTTAGAGGAGATTGAGCATGTGAGTGAAGAGTGTACAGGTGAGAGATGGATATGCCGGTGAGAGATGGCTGTACAGGTGAGTGATAGTGCGCAGGTGAAAGGCGAGTGTGCATCTGAGAGTTGTTTTTTCAGGTGAAGTTTTGGTATGCCGTTGAGTGATGAGTATACAGGTGAGTGATGAGTGTGCAGGTGACAAGTGGGTCTCCAGGTGAGTGAGTGCTGTGAAGGTGACAGATGATTGTGCAATTGAGTGATGAGTGTACAGGTTAGAGATGGATGTGCAGGGGAGTAATGAGTATGCAGGTGAGAGATGGTTTTCCAGATGAGAGATGAATGTGCAGGTTAGAGACTGCTATGCAGGTGAGTGATGAGTGTGCAGGTGAGAGATGGCTTTTCTGGTGAGTGATGAGTGTGCAGTTTAGAGATGGCTATGAGGGTGAGAGATGGCTGTGCAGGTGAGTGATGCGTATTCAGGTGAGTGATGTGTGTGTAGTTGAGAGATGAGTGTGCAGATGAGTAATGCTGGTTGGGTGAGTGAAGCCTGTGAAGGAAGAAATGAGTTTGCAGGTTAGAAATGGCTGTGTAGGTGAGTAATGAGTGTGCAGGTGGCAGATGGCATCGCAGATGACTGATGACAGTACAGGTTTTTGATGGATGTGCAGGTGAATGAAGGCTGTTCAGGTGAGAGAATACTGTGAAGGTGAGTGATTGCTGTGCAGGTTAGAGACGGCGGTGCGGGTGATTGGTGAGTGTGCAGGTGAGAGTTGGCTGTGCAGGTGAGTGATGAGTGTTCAGTTTTTTGATGTGTGTGCAGTTGAGAAATGAGTGTGCAGATGAGTGATTAGTGTGCTGGATAGTGATGGCTTTGAGGGTGAGAGATGATTGTGCAGGTGAGAGATGGCTATGCAGTTCAGAGATGGCTGTGGAGGTGAGTGATGAGTGTGCTGGTGAAAGATGAGTCTGAAGATGAGTAATGGTTTTGCAGGTCAGTGATGAGTATGCAGTTGTGTGATGAGTGTGCAGGTGAGAGATGGCAGTGCAGGAGAGAGATGACTATGCAGGTGAGTGATGATTGTGCAGGGATTAATGAGCTTGCAGGTTAGAGAAAGCTGTGCAGCTGAGGGATGATTGTGCAGGTAACTGATGCTGTGCAGGTGAGAGATAAGGGTGAAGTTGAGATATGATAGTGCAGGTGAAAGGTAACTGTGCAGGTGAGTGATGGCTCTTCAGGTGACATGAGTGTGAAGTTGAGAGATGATAGTGCATGTGAAAAGTAACTTTGCAGGTGAGTGATGGCTCCGCAGGTGAGAAATGAGTGTGCAGTTGAGAGTTGATAGTTAAGGTGAAATGTAAGTTCTCAGGTGAGTGATTACCGTTGAGGTGAGAATAACGGTGAATTTCAGTGATGGCTGTGCAGGGAGAGATGATTGGGCAGAAGAGAGTGAGAGTGCAGGTGAGAAATGATTGTGCAGGAGAGTGATGAATATGCAGGTTAGGGATGACTGTGCATATGAGAGATGACTGTGAAGGTGAGTGAAAATTGTGCAGGGAGTGATGAGAGTGCAGGTGAGTGATGGCGGTGCAAGTGAAAAATTACTGTGCATTTCAGTGATGGCTGTGCAGTGAGAGATGGGTATGCAGGTGAGAGATGATGGATGGTGCAGCTGAGAGGTAACTCTGAAGGTGAGAGATGGCTGTACAGGTGAGAGGTAACGATGCAGGTGACTGATAATGTGGACATGAGAAATGATTGCGTAGGTCAGTGATGATTTTGCAGTGAGAGATGAGTGTGTAAATGAGAGATGATTGTGCAGGTTAGAGGTAAATCTGAAGGTAAGAGATGGCTATGCAGTTGAATATGGCTGTGCAGGTAAAAGATGATTGTGCAGGAGAGAATGACGGGGTAGGTGAGAAATGATGCTGCAGGTGAGTACTGAGTGTGCAGGTAAGAGAAGGCTGTGCAGGTGGGTTATGGTAGTGTATGTGAGAGAGAACTCTGCATTGAGGGAAGACAGTGCAGGTGAGTGATGAGTGTGCAGGTAAGAGATGGCTGTACAGGTGAGTGAGTATTTGGCAGGTGAGACATGGCTATGCAGGTGAGAGATGGCTATGGAGGTGAGTTATGTGCCTGCATATGAGTGATGAGCATCCAGGTGAGAGACGGCTTTGCAGGGGAGTGATGAGTGTGCACGTGAAAAATGACTGTGCACGTGTAAGATTTTGCAGGTGAAAAGTGTGCATTTGAGAAATGGCTGTGCAGGTGAGTGATGAGTGTGCAGGTGAGTGATGGTTGTGCAGTTGAGAGATGAGTATGCAGATCAGTGATAAGTTTGCAGGTGAGTGATGACTGTGCATGTGAGAGATGATGGTGCAGGTTAGAGATGGCTATGAAGGTGAGAGATGACTGTGCAGGTTTATAATGGATGTGCCGGTGAGAGAGAGCTTTGCACTTGAGACATGACTTTGCAGGTTAATGAAGGTTGTGCAGGTGAGAGATGCCTGTGAAGGTAAGTGATTTCTGTGCAGGTTAGAGACAGCTGTGTTGGTGAGTGATGAGTTAGCAGGTGAGAGATAGATTTTTTGTTGAGAGATAAGTGTGCAGCTGAGAGATGACTGTGGAGTTTTGAGATGACTCTCCAGGTGTGTGATAACTGTGAAGGTGAGAGATGTTTTTCAGGTGAGTGGTGTTTTTGCAGGTTACAGATGCCTATGGAGCTAAGAAATGGCTGTGCAGGGGAGTGATGTGTGTGCCAGTGAGAATTGCCTTGGCAGGTAAGTGATGAGTATGCAGGTAAGTGATTTGTATATAGGTGAGTGATGAGCGTGCAGGGGACACATGGCTGTTCAGGTGAGTGATGGCTGTGCAGGTGAGTGATGAGTGTACCAGTGAGAGATGAGAGTGCAGGTGACCGATCATTGTGAAGTTGAGTGATGAGTATGCAGGTGAGTGTGAGTATGCAAATGAGTGGTGAGTGTGCAGGTGAGAGATGGCTTTGCAGGTGAGAAATGACTTTCAGTTGAGAGATGATTGTGCAGGTGAGAGATAGCTGTGCAGGTGAGAGATGGCTGTGAATGTGAGTGATGAGTGTGCAGGGAGTTATGAGTGTGTAGGTGAGTGATGGCTGAGCAGGTGAGTGATGGTGGGTCAGGTAAGAGATGACTGTGCAGGTGGAGATGGCTGTCCAGATTAGACATGGCTGTGAAGGGGAGTCATTAGTATGCAGGTCAGAGATGGCACTGCACGTGAGAAATGACTTTGCAAGTGAGTGATGACTGTGCAGTTGAGAGATGACTGTGCAGGTTAGAGATGGTTTTGCAGGTGAGAGATGACTGTTCAGGATAGTGATGGCTGTGCAGTTGAGAGATGACTGTGAAGATGATTGAGAAGTTTGCAGGTGAGATTATTGTGAAGGTTAGTAATGAGTGTGTTGGTGAGAGATAGCTATGCAGGTGAGAAATGGCTGTGCAGGCGAAAGATAGCTATGCAGGTGAGAGCTGACTGTCCAAGTGAGTGATGAGTATGCTGGTGAGTTTGAGTATGCTGGAGAGTGATGAGTGTGAAAGTGAGAGATGGGTGTGCAGGTGAAAGATGACTGTGCAGGTGAGAGATGATAGTGCAGGTGAGAGATGGCTGTGAAGGTGAGAGATTGTTGTTAATTAGAGCAATAAGTGTGTAGGTGAGAGATGATTTTGCAGGTGAGTGATGGCTGTGCAGCTGAGAGCTTACTGTACAGGTCAGTGAAGGCTGTGCAGTGAGAAATGAGTGTGCAGGTGAAAGCTGATTGTGCAGTTGAGAACTAACTCTGAATGTGATAGATGACTGTGCATGTGAGAGTTAATTTTGCAGGTGACTGATGACTGTGCATGTGAGAGATGACTGCGCAGGTCAGTGATTGTTTTGTAGTGAGAGATGAGTGTGCAGGTGAGAACTGGCTGTGCAGGTGAGTGATGAGTATTCATTTGAGTGATGTGTGTGCATTTGAGAGATGAGTGTGCAGATGAGTGATGACTGTACAGGTGACTGATGACTGTGCACATTAAAGATAATTGTGCAGGTAAGAGATGGCTATGCAGGTGAG